TTTGCAGTGAAATCGCTGGGAGGAAACAAGCAGAGACACTCGCTAGGGCATTTCTGCTGAAATCACTTTTCAAACAGTAACCCTTTTCACGTCGCAGAGGTACATCGATTGCTTAAAACACAGACGTTCCTCCTAACCCAGTCCTTTCCGCATCCATGCAAAAAAGCCTATTGCTTTTGGGTTGTCGTATCCAGTCTGAACCCCAGAGCTTTTCACTAATCAGGAATGTACCATAATGTCATAAGTCAGGATCCAAGCATTTGGGCAGGGGATATGAGCCAAGACAACTCTTGAGGTCCCTCCCAATGCTATGATTTTTAGGAGTCTTAATAAGCTGACCTTGATTCAAATCTTCATTTCAGGCTGGAGCCAGTGTTGGAAATCTTTATGCTGGGGACAAGAAAAATGACGTTCCCAAGATAATCCCCCTGGCCATTCACTTGCCATTTACTCTGCTTCCTGCCGTGGCTGAGTAATCTTAGCAGTGGGAATTTGACGACGGTTGTGGAGAATATGCGGGTATCATAATTAGTGGCACAACTTTGGCAGGGCTGTTAAACTTTGTGCTAATGCCAGGCTCTATGAGAGACCATCGATGAGCAAATTGTCTAATGTCTTACTGCGCCAGTAGTACATGGCACTGACCACGGGCAGGACAGGATAATGGACAGGATCAACTGAATCGTGTGTCGTACCTAGCCAAAACCCAGAAACCATCAAAGTCAAGAGACGCACCCCACTGAATCCAACAGTACTTGTGTGACAACTCTCAGGCTAAGTCATCGGTGGGCGCATCTACACAAGACACTTAATACGCAGTAGCCTAATAACACTGTGCAGTAACGTGCCGGGCAAAAACCGTGCTAATACGCTACTGCATAGTAGTATTAGCCTAGTGCGCAGTAAGCGTCACAAAAAAACGTTCGCTGGCACTACGGTGCAGTAACTCCACATTTAGTTAGTCCTTATTTAAGCAAGCACTAAATTCAATGTGCAGCAACTACTGCGCATTAAAGAACATGTAGACACGCCCAGTGAGGACTAAACGGATGACCTCCAGAGCTACTATGTGCCTCGACCAACTCCTGTAACTACCAGCTCCAGCAAACACCTGACCTCTGTGGCTCAGGCATGGAGGGAGGTACCTGAATCACACAGGGCTCCTAGGAGCTACATTTAAATTGCAAAAATAAACTCAAGCAACCCAAACCCTGCATTTGAAACCTTTTTTTTTTTAAAGTTGTTCCTCGACACAGTTGCTTAGTGAAACGCTGGCCCTTCCTAATCTGCCATTGTCCCTTTAAATTTGTCCCGCTGCAACCGTCCCTGGCTGGGAATGTCATGAATAAGCCTGGAGCCTAAAGCCTATTCTTGACTTGTAAATTAAAGCCATACCTCAGCCAGAGCAAGGGGAAGCAAACCTGCTCCCACCGCCCGGCTCCTTTCACAAGTCGAAGGCTCTCGAGGGGCCATGTTCAGAAAATACCCTTTCTCCACTGACACACACACACACACACACACACAAACCTTTCAAAAGAAACTTTCCAGGAGTTCAGCTAAAGTTAAAACCCAGTGAGTAACGTGAAACTCAGTCGGTCCCGGAGCCGAATGGAAAGTACACTTCGTAGGACTGACCTGCCGTGCCATATGGAAGCCCCCGCGAGACCAAGCTATAAAGCTGTGTGCTTCTGTTGGAGCAAAGTTAGCCACATCATCTCTCTCCAGGGGTGGTGCAGCTTTTCAGTAAAGCCATAAATAAAAAATAAATAAAAACGAAGGGGGAAAAAGAAATCCCAGAGAGAAAAGGCCAAAAGGAAATGACCTTCTCCACTATTAAGTAGGTGACAGACGGGTATTATAAACGCATCATGGGCTGGAAGGGAAAAAGTGCAAGGAGGTGACACACTGGCCCCTTTCAACTTGGGTAGAGGCTGGGAGTTGGATCTAGCTATGAATGAGTAAAACCTTGGGCTGGTTCTTGGCGGCGGGTGGAGCGGGTCCTTGAGGTTCATCGCTGGCAGGATGCTTCCCTAACGGGCCTTTGCTCAGCAAGAAAGCTGGGACTCAAAAGCACTGAAGGGAGGGAATGGAGCCTGGGATTGTCTGGCTGTGTTCAAGGGGCACAGTCTTGGGAGGCCTGGTCATATTTTCCAGTGAACTGTAAAGGGCTCTATTAATTCCTGAGGACTTCTCTTTCTTTTGAATGCAATCGTGGCAAAGAGCAGCCTGCTGGTTTCCAGCCCTCCCTTTACGGGCAGAGGCAAGGTCAGAATCCCTCTGGCTTTCGTCCGACTCTGAATACACACCTAAAAGCATTTCTAACACACCCAAGGCCACGCTCGTTAGGTGTCAGAAACACTTGCCAGGACTTTTTCCACGGCACTCTCCACCTGAGGCATTCATGCCTAACGGTATCGGTTATCCACCGCCTTGTGTGATGCCAGTCTACAGCGGGTCAAAGCCAGCCGGTCCTGTGGGGGGCTCCCACACAGCTTTTTGGGGGTCAAGTTGAGGGAAGGGATGCAGGGACAATCACAGCGGGTGTTTGATCACGCTCACCTTGCCTTTGCACGTAATGGTTTGAGAGCTGCTACGTGGTTCCCCATCCGTACTGCTCTGAAGCACCCCATGATGCTCAAAGATGTCGGCATCTTGGGAAGAGATGACCCAGCGTCAGCACACACAAACACACCTGACCCCTGACCACCACCCCTCAACACGCTCGCACAGACTCAACCCAACCCTGATAGGGCTTGTGTCGGGACAGAGAAGAGCCAGAATCAGGACAGGAGGTCGACATGAGGGACAAACCTACTGACATTGCAAGGGTGAGGGCGGGTTGAGTTGGCCAAAGGAGGGAACAAGGGGAGTGCAGCTGAAAGCAAAGGAAATTACCTCTCCTCTACATCGTCTCCCTAACTTGGCTTCACCTCCAAATAAAAATAGCTGGTATCTCTGCCCCTTCCCTCCTCTCCCTAGCTGCCCCTGTGACTCAACCGGTAGAGCATTGGTCTGCCAATCCAATACATATAAAGCACCCCCACCCTCAGTCCTCCCATGGCTGAGCTAAAAAATGCCCCTCCTTCATGCACAGCTACCCCCACCCCTCAACTCCCTGTTCTGGGCCCAGCAGTGCCTCCTGCCCCGTGCCAAACAACTCCCCCATGCATCCCCCTTCTGCCCCAGGTGGGCTCCCCAGAGCCCTACCCCATCTCATGCTCCAAGGAGTCTTTGGCAGAGCCATTACTAGGCCCTTGGCCTTTGCACTCAGGCCTGGACCCGATCCTTCTGCCATCACTGGGTGCAAAGGAGGGGCAGACACGCTGGGCGCATCTACACATCGCCCTACGGTGATATAACGATGCGTTACATCACTGCACGGCATGCTACGGTGACATAGCGATCACACGTGTCTACACGTGATTGCCAGCTACATCGCCATAGCAGTGCACTTCCTGGGCATAGTGCTCCGCTACGGCAATGTACCAGCAAAATGTACCTGTGCGCCACGCAATAACCACCCATACGTGTGCTGTGCTTCCAAAGGGCAGTACTAAAGCATGGCACCGTAGCAATGTGGCATACAGTGACGTGTAGACATGCCCACTAGGTTGCTGCTTTACAACTTGGGAGGACTCCAAACCAGAACGATGCCCCAGCCCAGAGTGCTGAACCAGAGTATAGCCTTCACCCACAACCATAGAGATGAGAGGTGTGCAAAGGCCCAGAGCGGCACCACAGAAATGGCCATTCGAGCTGTTTCTCTATGATTGCAGGTGGGGTGGAGGACCAGAGCCTTGGAAGAGCTTCTGTTGTCATTTCTGGAAGTGGGATAGGGCTGATATGGGCAGGAGTGGGGCAGCTGGCAGTGGGGAGTAAGGGACTTTTGGAGTGATGAGGAAAAGGGGAAGGGGATCTGCCAGCCAAAAGGAGGGGTCTCTGCGTAGAAGGGAGCAGCCAGATAAAAGGGGGGACATGACAACAGACAAAAGATGGGGGGAGAAAGGACAGATGAAGGGAAACTAGGGAAAGAGCATCCCATACAGT